TCTACTTATACCTATTCTTTGTTTTTTAAAATGTCATACTCGCATCTGTAACGCATGGGTTGGTCCGTTTCATTTGAATCTTGATAGTTTTATTGAACATTGGAAAATCTATAGTGGTGATCTAGAAATAGAACGATCATTTCTAGTTGGTTTATTTTCATTTGATAAAGAATATCTTCAGATTGAACTTGGTGAAAATCAAATTGATAACGATACATATAATATGTATTTTGTTTACTTTCGTCATCCTATGTATAACCAATTATTATATACATTCAATCCAATTAAAGAATCAAGTATTAGTAATCTATCAAAGAAATTATTCGTTAAATTACCAACATATTTAACGTCTCATTTTCATAAACGTCTTCCTTACCGTTTTGAACAATTTAATAGTAATACATTAAAATGTATTATTCGACAGCTTGATATTTCATCTGAGGTAGATAACATTAAACTTATGAAATCAATGCATATAAAAATAATTGAAGAAATATATGATCGAAATGCTACTGAATTCAATATGAAAGTTATAAATCAATGTGGTATTCTACTCGGATATTTATATGATTGTCAAAATGAAATAGTATTTAGTCCATCGTCGAATCAGCGATACAAATTTTCTGATTTTGTTGCAGCATTCGATGCTTCGTCATCCTATTCACCTTATATGAGTTATTTATTCGGCGGTCTCTTGTTCTTATGGATTTTGATAACTAGTCTTGCATTGCTTTTTCATTTTCTTCGATATAGATTCAATAAAATTAAACTATTAGTTTTTACTGACCTTCAAAACACATTGAACATGCACAATATTAGATCTATTCAAAATCTTGACTATCTATTGATGAGTACATCAAACGAAAATAACTATCATAATCGATTGTTTATTGTGCAAAATCGATATTTAATTATTTTTAAAGTCAATTTAAACGAACGTTGTCAAAGTATTTTGCATCAGTTTTATATGGTAGTACCATTCATTATCATTGATATTCAAACTATTACTGATATTAGCACATATTTCATTCCGGTTTCAATAGGAAATTATTTAGAGCGCATTCCATATCCTATTGTTGTAAATAGGAATACCTATTATGAACTCGAATGGCTTCATCAACGCTTGATGTATTACAGTGCAAAATATCGCTATTCGTAAGTTGTTTTATTCGAGTTTGGCAGCCAAATGTTAACCATCTTTTGTATTCCTATTTCAGTTATGAACTAGAACAATTACGTCAAAGACAAGAAGCTATTCGTACTCGAGAAGAACAAAGACGGTATCGCTTGGCCTTGTTTATCGAGGAAGAAGAGAGAATACAAAGATTGAATCAAGAATTTGATTTTGAACAAATTTGGAATCGTGTACCGTCGGCATCGCCTCGTTTTATTGCAAATTTTCGTCTTGAAGATCCCAAAATAGTTAATAGTCAATTATGTGAAACAAATTGTAGTATTTGTCTCGAAACATTACAACCAGATGAACATTATTCTCAATGGCCATGTCCAGCTCAACACGTTTTTCACTATAACTGTATGCTGAATGTCTTGCGAAGACAAAATAGTTGCCCTTTATGTCGACATTTAGTCGAAGCGGCGCCTCTGCCATCGTTAGATGTTGTTTGGAGAAATTTTTTATTCAGAGTGGCTTCACGTGTGGCTAATTAGCGTAAACTCACTAATATTCTCGTTTTATCAATTCACTTCTCAAAGTTTCGTTCGTTTTATTATTATTAAATACTTTCTGAATAAACTCCTCTTAGAAATCATGATTTCAGCATCTCTATGACCGTCGGCCATTCTAAATGTCATCGCTTCTTATTACTTAGTAACTGTCACAGGAATGGATTAGTCATACTTTGAGTTGACTTTTGACGAAGACAAGTTAGGGTGTGGGTGGGGTGTGGGGTAGGTGTTGGTGAGGAAAAGACTAACCCCGACTCCCACACCCGCAGTTGAAGTTTTCAGATATCTTTGACTTCAAGATTGATTAGAAAACACTCTATAAAGAGAAATATTCTATTGAAACTCTGTCTAAGCAAACATCTACCTAGTACGAATAACTTCATTCAGGTTGGAAATGTTTTTTGGTAAGAAATGGATGAATGTGATAACAACCTACCAATAACTAATCTATTGATATTTCCTCGTGATTTTGCGGTTTGACAAAAGTTATGGTAACTCTGTGAGTTTGTTGAACATATTATATTAGTCGAAATAGTTTGAGACATATTTTAGAATAAGAAAAAGAAGCAGAGGTTCCATTTGATTTTTTTCAAGAAGTGACTATTTTACATTAGTAATGTCCTTTTTGTTCTTCTATAGCATTGAATATTGACATAGGAATCTTATTTTATTTGTAGGGCATTATTTTTCTATTTATTGTACACAGACATTATCTCAAATTTGAAAGTTAAATCAGTTCTGAGCAAACTTCAAATGAACTAGTATTGTAAACTATGATCACTATTTATGATAAAAATATGAGACTTTCTTCTTTCATATATAGTCATCAATATAAAAATCCTTGTAGATTCGAATCTATCCACAATGTTAACTAATTCTTCAATAATATTTTTAATAAAAACCAAATGACGAAAGATGTCACTAAGATTTTATTTTTTTGACAAATCTTCTCTTTATATAAGTGAAATTAATTGGACTTTATTTGATTATTACTCTTATCAAACAGAATATACATTTATAATATTGTTCACGATGCTATTGAAAATGCCTTGACGAATAACAACCATTGGAAAAAATCCAACAAATGTATGACTAACTCCGAAGAATGAAAGAACAAGGCAACATACATACAAATGAGTAATGCGTCGAGTTCGAATTTACAATTACACATCTTTTTTTCTTCCTTTTTTGCTTATACTATAAATATAGAGTGTAGTGAGAGCAGAGTTGAATACATAGTAATAGTTACGTTGCAATCAATGACAGATACATCTCAACTAGTTGATCCAAAGCAAGAACGTATCTATACATTTCATTTTCGTCATTCTAATAAACATGTCGATCTTACGGACGAAGAACTCGATCATTTTCCTTATTTGATTGCTCTCGTCGAACATAAAAATGATTTCTTATCCGTTGAAAATGAAAATGGCGAATATGTATTGAGTCATTCTATTGAATATCCTTGGTTTATTTCTATTCTTCGTTCCATTAAATCCGAACAACCATATATATTATTTAACGAACTATCTGAAGACAATAATGTGTTGGACACACTTCAACTATTTGATTATCTTTGTATCAATCCATTTCCGTTACCTCTTCTAAAATATGAAGAACTAGTCCGATCAAACCCTACAAATATTGGCAATGATGAAAAACGTCTTGACTATCATCAAGCAAATCTATCAGAAGCACGACAAACAGCTGCAGAGTTCATCATAGCTCTTAGTAAAAATGTATACGATTTACGTAATTCATACACTATCAAACGTATTTTTTCATTGATCCGAGTCATTCTCTCTAATCCAGCTGTTTTTAGCTCACGATTTCGTCATCATACATTAATAGTGGCGAAAGACTCTTGTTATTCGTTCTTTTCTAAGACTCAACGACGTCTATTGCCTACTATTCAACAAATTGATCAACATAGGAAGATCGACGCTCTTATTTATCTATACGACGATGATAAACCTCTTCCTGACCATTTTCAAAATACATTCGCTTGGAGAGGTGTTTATCTGCCAATAGAAGAGAATCCTATGGAGTCTTTATATGAAAGTCCCGCAAAGACATCTTTTTCCAATGGATCGTCTCAAAGAACACACGATCATTTTCATATAAATTATAAGATTTCTGATTTGTCAATGATAAAGCATAGTATAGATTATCTCCTATCTATTTATGACCTGCCAGAATTTTCTATAATTGAAAATGTTGACGACGAAGGGTTACCCATCTATCAATCGAAACAAAATCGAAAGAATAATGAAGCACAACTAGCTCGATCACGACATTTTAAGACATTATCTAAACGACCAAACAATGACAAGTTCAAACATCGATGTGCTCCAAAAGCTCAAAAATACCGATAAAAACTTTTTTCAAAGGGAATATTTGCTTTTTTTTTTATTGCATAAATATAAGTCACGAGAAATATTTTAGAGCCTTTTTTGCACTGACTTACAATTTTCAAAATAAGACTTGTTATAAAAATAAATCAAGAGATTTCTTACTCTTCAACAATATGTCATTTCGACAATCATTAACTTAGATAACATTTAATATGTACAGATGTGGCTTCAAAAGCAAGAATATGATGCTACTTAAGAAATATATCTTAATAAAAGGTCGATTCCTCAGATGTATTATCCGAAATCTATCTCTACAAAACCCAGTGAGTATGAGTCATTTCATTGAGATATGACACACTATAATAATAGTTGAAAAATTCATTTGATAAGAAAAAAAGTAATGGAGAGATATTTCGTTATCATTTCGCTTCTTATCGAAGTTATTTATATATTTCTACATAGATTCGAGAATTAAGTGAAAGCAAAATGACGTCATTTTATATCGGCTGTTATATTCAAAATAAGAACTCGTTTATATTGAGTTATATCCATATGAATAATTAACATAGCCTGTCTTGATAAATATAAAATGATGAAATATGTCAGTGAAATATTGATTAAGTATTCTATCGATATATTTATCTACTCGAATCCTATCTCATCAGTAATGGAACATATCAAAATTTGGTAGATTAGAAGATCAAAGCGAATAAGCGTGTACAATATGCGGCACAATATGGAGTTCGCATGGCCACACTTGCATACGGCCTGGTGACTTCGAATTTTGCCTTTACATCGTTTCAATTCAATTTCATCTTCGTTGGTACGGCCATGTACAATTTTGATCTATTTCAAATGACAGATATGCTTCGATCGTCCTCGGACAATGTTCTATTCTTTTATCCGAATCCGAGTTCGAACTATGGTTCAACATGGCTAACCGATGATATCATTCAGACAAATGCCACTCATTTCTATCGACAGACAGACAGCTACAATCTGATATTGGATGGAGATGGAATGATCTATGGTCTAGGAACGATAGTAGTATATAACGGATGTACCTCTATCCAGAGAGCAGAAAATTACTCGATTGGTTTGCTTTTTATCATTATCCAACTTTGTATATTGTGAAATTCTGTTGCAAAAAATTAAGTAGTGTGAAGTTTATGGCTTGATTGTATGTATCCTGCTTAGTCTGTTTTCATATGTGCTGTGAAGAATTAAGTCGAATTTCTTTCAATATGTTGATCTTTTGTCTGAGAGTATTACATTTTTGTTTGCGAAATAAATACTTAAGCAGATGCTTTACGTCGATGTTGAATCGTGCTCGCTTTTCTACCTTTTTGCAAAATAGGCTTACTCAGATTTGTTTACAGATATATTGCAACGTGAATTGCCGTATGAGTATTGCTCGTAAGATATTTTTTTTTGTGCCATCAAGATCTGTGGCAACGATGGGCAGCAAATATTCGATAGTGTTTTCAGAAGATCTTTTCCTTGAAGGTGAGTTCTAGTGGTCATTATCACGATTTCTTTTATGATTTATGTTCATTTCATTTATGAGATCTTGATTGAATAATACAATAGCAGGTTGATAGTTTCGTCAATGTGGTGCTCTTTTTTCATGAAAACACTTTTTTAGTATAATAAAAATTTTGCAATACAGTCAATTTTTCACTATTTATGTGGAATAAAGCCAATAGTAATAAGTCTTTTTTTTTGAAGGTACATTATACAAATATTTATTGAAAATGTTTTTCGCCGAACTATTAAAAATCACTATATTAGTTTGACAGATTTGATATTGTTCTGCTCGATGACTCATAGATCTTCATTCACCATTTATCCGACACTTTCGGAACTAAGATGTGTACTTCAATAGTTTTACATACGCATGACTCAATAGTTTTTTGCTAAATGGTATAGATTTATCTGCTGAGAGAATGTTTCTGTTTCCTCCTGTCAATATAAATAGATGTGATTGGTTTCATTAGAAAATGAGACCCACCTCAATATGTACTGTTGCGGCAACCCATAGATGTGTTCAGTGTTTCGGTGCTTCTCGCATTATGTTCTTCTTCAAAACAACTTAGTGATCGATATTTGAAAGTTTCTTAGCACAGATTGTTTGACTAGCATATTTTTTACAAATAGACAAGGAAAATTTTTCAAAACATGGTCGCAGATTTAGGATAGACAATGGGCAATAACTCTTGATGAAAAACTTTGATTACATAGACAGTGGATATTTTAAGAAGACGATCATTGCCGTGAAGCTCAAATGATGACATTTTTTTAAAACTTGATTCTAGTTGTTTGAGTAGCACTGGTAATTAATCCATTCAATCCTGAAAAGAATTTTAGTCGATTAATGTGTTATAATATTCGATATATTTCGTTAACAATATGCGACACCAAAGATCCGGGTGTTGATGTTCACACCCACACCTCAAGTGAACAATAAAACGGATTTCTAATAGATAGAAATTGAATATGATGTCGTTGAAGAAAATAAGTTTTTTTTTGGCAGTTTTCGTCAGCTAGCTCTTCTATTTCAGAAAAAATCATGTATCTCAACGTCAGCCCCTTTCAAATTTGATGTGTTTCCATTTGAAATTAGGATAATGGCAACCTTGTATTGGCTGTCGATTTTGCTAAATGGAAACCATGGAAAAATAAGATTGTCATTTTTTCGATAAAAAAAGAAAGTCAAAACGATAATAATAAATATTAATGATGTTCTTATGATTGAAAACTATGCAACAGATACTGATTAATCTTCTATGACAATAATCTTTTGACACTTAAATATATGAAATTTGCTTACTTATTATGATATCATAATGATTAGAGTTGTTGACTATTTTCTATCGACGCATTTCTTTTAAATAAAATCTAGGTAATAGAGACGTATAGGTCTTGTATACAAAAATAATATGTGCGAACAACATAATTAACAAAATAAAAGCAACACTGATAATCGACAAATAATTATTAAAACTAAAAAAGACACTTAAAACTAATATTGCATAAAGGTAAAGTGTCACAATATATAAACAAACAAATTCTTTGTCATTGAATATAGTCATTACTTTTTTTTTATCACATAGAGATAATGATCGTGGATCTTAATAAAATAAAAGAAACTATTAAAATTGCCTGTAAACAATATATGTTTCCAGTTGTATTGATTTCATGTCAATGTGCTTTTATTGTATTATATGCTGTGTATGCCGAATATGGATTAGAACAAATCACAATTAAAAATTCTATAAGTCTTTGACTCTCATACTCACACCCACTACACTTCACATCCACACCACATTCACACTCACACTCAATAAATATTAGTCAAGAAAAGCATAAAACCATGTCTAGAAAATGATGTCAATCAGGTGGTCAGTATTACTTTAGTTTGAAAAACATATACTTTGGTAGCTTGCAAAAAGCATCATCGATTAGTATATAAAGATTAATAATAACATAAATCCCTGGATCTCTGTCAGTCAACATGCCACTGAGCAGAACTAAATTTCTTTACAACATACCGCTGACTGTCAACGAAGCAACCAATGAAACACAGTGGTCAAGTTTTTCAATAAGCTTTCTCTCATAGTAGTCCATTCAGAATTTAATGATTTATCCAATGACACGGACCTAAAAATAGAAGCAATGTTGTTGTACAAAGTTATTAGAAAGATACTTCACGACATCGACGACGGTTTAGCTGATGATAAACTAAGAACAATATTTCTATCCCATATTACTTTAAATATCATTAAATCGATTTGAAATTATTACAAAACGACCCAGTAAGGTGTGGGTGTGGGTGTGGGTGTGTGTATTGTTTTCACACGCAGTACACCCACGTCTGCACCCACACTCACACTCTCAAGAACATTACCGATACTGGAACTTCAACCCAGGCAGAGAGATTGAAGGTCTCTTATCCTACCATTAGACTATAACGGTGTGATCAAGCCGAAAGTGGACTATATTCGAATTCTACAATATCAGCTCATCATTGACTTTCTTCTTTTTGTCTGAAATTAGAAAAATCTATTATGGAGATCGATTATCATTTATCTGTTCATGTTCAAAAATAAGATTATACAATTAAAATAGGTGTTATTTAAGTATTATAATGATATTTTGCTTTATATTAAAGATTAGGATATGTGAGTTGATACAGGTAATAGAACAACAATCTACAATTACTATTCAACAGCATTTATAAAAGCCACTTCGGCTCAAAGAAGTTTTATGAATTGAAACATGATCATAAAATAGAATAATAATTAATCCCAAACTTTGATATTCAACTATGAAAACGTCTTACTTTATTTCATTGCATAAATTGGACCTAATTCTATTCGGAACACATTCTGTTCAATTTATGACACTGATTCAAGTATAATTCAAACATAATGAGTCTATTAATGTTGTTTATACGAACAGTTGCTTCAAGACATTATAGGATATACTATCTCTATGTTGTTCATTTTATTCTTATAGTCGAACATAGATAATAGAAATATGATTGAGCATAGTAAATCCGAAGACTCGACTATAGCAAGAGATCTAGTGGGTTGATATTTGATCTATCTATCTATGTCTAAGTGTTTGTTTTCTTTCATTAGTGTTGATTTGCAAGTAATATTTTAATCTTCATCATGATTACTTGTAGCCACCATATTATCAATATTTGAACTGTCCTCATGCTTTGCATAACCAATAAGATTGGGGAAATCGAAAAATGGGCTAAACCAAGAGAAAAAAAGATGAAAGACGTTATTAACAAATTGTAAATCACTACCAAGATCATATATTCCTCTGAAAAATGCAGCAAATGAACTAGAATTTCTTTTCAAAACTAAAATTTTAAGATTCACAGGTTTTCGTGAAGTTATATTGAAATGAATTCTAATAGAAAAATGGAACTAGAGGGTAGAGGTGTGGATATGGTTCTTTTCGTTATCCATACCCACATTCTTGTCATACGAAAGATTTTTATCATTCATATCGAAAAGAACAACATAATATTTATATATCTACCAGTCACTATTCTAAATGTTGTCCAATCAATCAATGACTACCAAAATATGCAACGAAGTTCATGCTTTCTCGCTATATATGATACATAAATAAAAAACAAACTATAGAGAAATGAACAGAAAAACAAAAACTAAAAAGGAAAATTCTATTGGTCCCCACTATGAGAAATAAAAAAAAACAATATGTACAGATAGAAAAATAAATAAGAAAACAAATTACATCCACACATACACCATAGGATTAATTTGGTGAAATGAACGGACAATATATTTTATTGCATCTTGAGTTAAACGAATCAATTGTCAGATTTTACTCAAAATAACTATGATGAATTCGACTTATTTCACGTAAAATTGACATCTGCACGGGAAATCCACGCGAATTGCAAGTCACATCTTTCCACGCGACCATACTCTACAAATAAAAATGGTCTCTAGACAACCATCAAGAGAAAGAAAAATTGTGGATCATACATCGTTTCGCAAACGAGAAAATGACATGTTAGAACCATAGTGAAAATTCCATATTTCTGCTTCGACCCAAGCATTATCTGTATTGCGAGCATCATCAATGTAACCTGAAACGATATAGAATGGATTAAAATCGAACAAAATAGAAAAAAGAAATTCACCTCTATAGACCATATGTGCTTCGAAGTCATTCTGTTGATCATCATCATTATTATCCGAACGAGCAAATGATTTAAAGTACTGACAATGAATTGGCTTATATTTGAGGAAGAAATGAGAAAAATTACTCTTACCTCGATCATGTCTTGTTCTTGTAAAGATAAACTATATTCAGAAGCGTCATCTTGAAAGGTAAGTTGATTAAAAGTACGGCACACCACACTATATAGTGATTCAACACCCAAAATTTTACTCTACACATACAAATATCAATAGAAGCTGTTCAATGATCACTGTCGATACTCACGCCAGGTAATTGCCAATCGTTGGTTATTTTATCTTTGAATACCATTGCTTCAAGAATTCGTTGTCCATCAACAAGAGTACATTGATCACGATATTTTTTCCATCGAGTAATAATGGCTATTGTGGATTTATTTGGACCCCATCGAATGAGAGCACCACGACCACGTACTCCAGTACGACCTATTGGATTTCTACATCAAGTCAAATTAACATTTTAACGTTGGATAGATAAGGTGAGAAAAAAAATATGTATAGATGAACGTACAAAGGTAGAAACAATTGAGTATCGAGTCGATACGTAACTGATGTTTCCTCGTCTGGATTTGCCACCCAAGTTGTCCGATCGATCACCATCTATATAAATTTATCATTCCATTATATGATATTCATTCTCTAAGAAGAAAACAACCTTTTTCCCATCGGGTAATTGTAATTCAACAACTTGATTCCATTTGTACTCGGATGCTGGAATTATAAAATCGTTTGAACTGAGTGACATCAGTGACGGTTCAATTATTCTAAAACGAGCTGATTAATTCCTAAGTATTATGAATATAACATACGTATCGAGAGCCGGTTGTAATTCATCTCCCATCGAGCTCAATCTCAACCTAATCAAATGCAGTAGTGTAAAAAAAAACATACACAGTGACACTCACAAATTAGGTTCAACAAATGGGCGTTCATCGTCTTGAAAGCAAATATGTTCTTTTGGTAATGTAATCAATGTAGGATCATAGAGATCGAATTGACGCTAAAAATGCAGTAGATATTGACAAATTGAAAATAGTTAATAGAAAACTACAGTTTACCGTCCATGGAATGTATTTTTCAGTAACAGAAAATCGAGCTTCATTAGTATAGACATAAGGTGATTCACGTGATAGAACATGAGAATATTTTTGACTTTTAGGTAATGGTTTATCTTTCTGATATATTGTCGCATGAAGTTTTTCAAGTAATATATGTGAATCGATCACCATTTTTTCTAAGGAAAAAATACGATCATTAATCTGTCGTAAAGATTTTCGTACAGTATCCATATCTTGTTTTCCATCGGTCACACTAAAATACAGAAAGATATTGAATCTGATAATGACGTGCATTTTCATTTGATCACCTCTTCGAAAGATTTTCAAGTCTTTCTTGAACTTTTTCGGTTTCTACTGTTTTAGCAAAGAATTCTTTCGCTTTATATTCCCAATAGAAACTAGTTTCATTATCTACCCAATGAAGTTCTGCGTTTTGCTAGAATCAAAACAGAAAAAAAAAATACAATTATTGATTAACTACCTAGAAAAACAGACTAAATATATAGCAACAAGTAATTATTGTCTAGAAAAACAAGGACGGATAAGATCGTTTTCTCTCCTTATGGCTACTCACTATGGTTTCTCTCCGTACGCAAACGAGAAACATTGTTTTGATCAACACTCGTAATGGATACGGGTGTCGATAGACAAATCGATTGTGATATGTTGGAAAACTGACGATCGGACTATCGTCAGAGGATATCTTTCATGTGATTTTAACACAAGAAATCGAAATGGTTTTTTTTTCTGGGGGAAGTGAGAAAATGATCTTATTTGCCCTCGTCGTTTGAAAACAAGTCATTGACTATGATAGATCTTATATGTATACAAAGTAGAGATATCGCTTGGAACATTCACTAATAGTTACATCATTATTAACTGAAAACAATACGAATAGAAAGGAAATAGAGAGATCTGCTCTCGAAAGCTATGTAATTACATTCTTTGTCTTCTCGTGATTGATCATTTGTCGACATGGTTTACAATTGAGTAATCGTCCAACTAACGAACGATTTTCAATCGATACCGATGATGAATCATCAATTAAGTCGTCTGTATTCAAATTGACATTATTCGATGTATTCGACATATCAACAGCAAGAGGCGTTGCTGAACTTGTACCATAGCCAGAATCTCCTCCTACATTGTGTGATGACAATTGTAACCGTGCTTGTTGAGTACTTTTCTTATCTAAATATTCCTTCCACTTGAACATACATTGACCAGCTTTGGAAATTAACATACCTAACAATCAACAAAAACAAACATCAATATAATATCTAGATAAAAAAAAAACAGGAAAAGAAATCTTATTACCAATGTATGAGATAACAATTAATGGAGGTGGTAGACGAGGTCGTTTTGTATATTCTATCATAATTTCATATCGATTATACATCCAAATTTTCTCCGATTGACTCTGTATTCGTGCTCCTGTCAAACTAATCGAAAAGAAAATGAAAAGTGAAACATGTAATTCTTGATTTAATATGCTAATACAAATATATAATACCTGAACATGGCTGTCAAGAGAGAAATGAGAAATCGTTTGGCCAAGAAAAAATACTGAATAAGAAGAAACCATGCGATCCATGATGTTTGATTACATTCAGGTGATGATATTCCATAGCGATTGTATGTAGAGAGACGATCATCTGCAAAAAAGAACGATAAACAAATATTTGATTTTCATTACAGAAAATTTTTTCATTGTGTTTTCAAAATTTACATTTAAATGAAGGACCATGAGACAATCTTAAACAGGCATATTTACGGTCGATGCCACTCGTTACATTGATAGAACACGATTGATGTGGATTTTTTAAGTCGGCCATGTCAGTAGTGAACAATGCCATGAGACCACGAAATACAAATGCTTTGGTGAACAAATCCAAGCCAAGTGGATAATGAGGATAGAGAACAGCTGTAATAGCTACACCTGATGAGATCATAAAGATAACGAACAATTGTAAAAATGTAAAAAAATCATTCATAATCTAAATATGGTTTAATAGAACAGTTTGAAAAGACTCAAAAAAGAGTGAAAATAACTAACCATGGATCGAAGTCGAATCATCATCGGGCCAAGTGTAGAACTAACCGGAAAGTAGACGAACAATATTCGATAGTAATAATAAATCAGTCCGATGCCCATAATTGCCTTAGCTGTCAAAATTCGACAAGCTAAAAGAGAGAAAAGAGAAGAACGAACGACGTAATATTTCAAATTGAGTACATATCTATTATTATTCTTACTCCCAAAATTCCACAAGCCAAGGATACGAAAACTGAGATATAGAGCAAGAAATATGATCTGTACAATGACATCGGGTATATCTCGTTGTAAGGGTAATCTATTTTGTGACTATAATAATAACAATTCTACTACGTAGATGTGATGATGATGATAATTGTACATGCGCTAAACTTACATAAAACTTTACGTAAGCAACACGAGTATTTTCGAATGCAATTGATGCTGTCCACAACCAAACGAAACAATCAAGCCATAAATTCCCACATGAGGGCCACATCACTGCTAATGTGAAAAATGATAAATAGACTAGATAAGCAACGAAATTCATATAAAATTTTGTTATCGGTGCATTCCACAATGTTTTGATTTGTTGAATGGTATTCTTTAATTTATCATATCGACGAAAACAGGACATTGGTCGTCGAAAAAGACTATTCTATATGTATATACAGACAAAAGAATAGTAGAATAGAAGACAATCATCAAGTGAACAGAACATACTCCATTGCGTACTGAGGCTTCACTTGCATATGTTTCCAATTTCTTTCCCTCTATGAATAAGAAAACAGGTAATAGATTAAACGTCTGGAGACAATAAAAATGTATTGTCAATTATTGTCTCAATGTTGTCTGTAGACTTTTTCTTTTTACTTTGCATATCGTTTGCTTTTTCCGATGTTGGTGGACTTTGATCGATCGAAGAAAAACTAATCCAAAATTGCATCGGAAATATGAGACAAGCACTGATTATAATCTACATATTTTATATAGAAAAATAAAGAATTTGAACGTTTGAAGGCATCGTTTCCTTCTACTTACTTTAAGATAATCAGGACATTTAAAAAGACCCCAGGAAAGTTCACGCACAGTGATTTCATCGTAGAATCGTTGAGTAACTAATTTTTGATAAGCAGGATGTACCATAAATGCTCTATTGTCAGCTCTGTACGCTAGTTCAAAAGTAGTCATATGATTCCAATCCTAGAATATTTCAAAAAGGAGAGTATCTCTACTAAATCATTCGTTCTTAGCATATGAATTTATTTTTTTTACTGAATTTTTGTCATCGAGCATTGCAAGTGTACGTTCCTGGTCTTCGTTAAAGGATTTTTCGAGTACACCCACAGCATAATCTGAAAATTCTCTATAACAAAATTGACGATAATTATTGCCTGAAAAGAAAACAGAGAAATAAAAAATAGGCTTACTTGGCTTGTTTTTCGATTCGCAATCGTTGAGTGGGATCATGGCAATAAATTGCCAATTTTTTAAACATCATATAACAAATCAATGCCATTGGAATCGGTTCTAATGAATGTTTCCAGAAAATCTTGGCCAACTGATGTCGATTCATGAGTACGGCATAGATAATCAAATAACGAATAGCCTAATGAAAAAAAAACGTCGTGCCCGATAGGAGGAAAATCTTGAAACGCACCTTTTTCTCTGCTTTTAGTCGATGTTGTTGAATGTCTTTGTCTGTTTTGTCACAAAAATAGATGCCCACAGCATTACAATCCATTTCATATGGACGAAAAAAGCCACTAATACCAGTGAGACACTTCATAATAATATTGAGATGATGATCAATAAAATTTTGTGGTATTTCGTCGTCATCCTAGGAAAGTACAATAGATGGACATCAAAGTTTAGATATAAAAGAAAAGGAAAATAATTATCATTTACTCCAGCTATGCCAAGAATGCCTTTCCATGATGTTTGTTTTAGAAATTTACGATCTTTCGCGTTCTTAAAAAGATTAAACAATTCGTCCGATGTTAAATATCGATGTGGAATAAATTCATTATCAAGAAAAATATCGACAAATGTTTCGAGATTTTTTCCAAGAACAGCCTTAGCAAAAAAATCATATTGTATAGAATACTTCGTATCATTATCACGTTGAAAAATTTTCGATAGAGCCAAATCGGGCAAATTCCAATCGAGTATTAAAGTAAGATTGTGTCTCAATTGCGCATAAACTCTATTTCCAGTTACAACTCTTTGAGCTAAAAAAATACAAATATAGTTGAAGTGTCAGTAAGATATAGATTTCCAATTCTCACATTCTATAAGAGCGAATAAAATAAATTTGCGAAAATCATTGAGTGACTCTATTGAGCTTTTTACATCGACAAATGTCAAAAATTTTCGTCTTCCTTGATCGGCTTTTTTGACAATTGCAATGATATTATCACGGATTTCGTTTCGTCTTACATGATTATCTATCAATGCTGGATATTCGTTGAGTAAACGTTGAGTTAGTTCAACTTTTAGATAACTATCCTCAAATTCTTTATCGCTTCTAAATGTAAAAAAAAGAAAAAAAATTCTGATTGAAATCTGGAAAAGTTAACTATGAATACTTGGCATGAAATTCTTCATAGGCAAAAGCGATGATATCAGCAACTGATCCGGTTCCTTTGAAAATAACCACAGGAATTTCTTCGTGAATTTTTGTATGCAAAAGTTTAATTGTTCCTGGTGTGCCTCGTACAAAAGTACAAACCATCGGAAAACCACCTTCATTCCATCCATTACTTTCATGAGCTGAGGACGGTGACGTTGTTGTTGCTCCATCTAAATAAAATATATATATATATATAGATATAGATCGCGCTGGTATTGGCTTTGTACCTGTTATTGGAGAAAACAGATTGGGAGATACTGTCGCTTGTTGATGCAGTGCTTCTTGATGTAAACTATTTTCGAAGCGTTCTCGAAATCTATTTGTAGCACTATCAGCTGAATCAGCTAATTTTTCGAATTGTCTTTCATCACTATCTGCAGCAGCTGAGCTTTGTCCAACATTCATTGAAGCACTACCAATTGCTTTTTCACGAATAATAATAAAATGAGTGTGATCACTATTCAGCGAGAGATTACCACGTTTTCGTGTTGGCACTTTCACTTCCTATCATTAGGTAAATTTTACTCAAGTGAGAAATAGAGTTGATTTTTTAAATACCATTTTTGATTTATTTATACCCGGTCTCAGATCAATAGCATCTATGATAACGTCATCACAAACGATGCCAATTAAAATAAGTCTTTTTCGTTTTTTCGGCTCCCGACCCAGTTGGGTATCCCATATATCATAAGCTCGTCTCAATGCCTATTTTATAGATATTATATATATATATATATCAATAAAATTGCACATAGCTATTATTTACGATCTCTTCTCGAAATGCCGACCCAATAAGTTGTGGAACACCTATATCGATACCGTTCGTTATGAACCAAACTTCAGATGCATTTACTATCTGAAAAAAAAAACAGTCCATATACTTTTCAGATCAAGTATATATAAAATGTAGTATACATTTTTGATACCACGCTTAAGTGCTTCAATTGTTTTTGTATTTTTTAATGTTTTATAATTGGTGACATTGCTAAGAACAGGTATGACAATGTTGGCTGTTTGCATATGCCACTCATTAATCATGAATCGACGAATGTCACCCAATGGAATGTTACCATCCACATAGAGAAACGGTCGAGGCTTCAAAATACAAAAAAAAAATATTCTAATTAGTTGATAAATTAGTAGAAACCCCAATTTTCGTTCTCATTTGTAATATAATAAATTAGCTTTATACCCGAACAAAGAATGACGATCTAGTATCTGTAGATATTGAAAAAAGTGCAATACCTCCAAGCGAATAAATTTAGCATAAAGACTTACATTATTGATATAACTACTGGGACAATCTTCGAATTCGAACGTGCCCCAACAGGCACCATATTGTTGTTGAATATATGCGTTATAAACGACTGGATTTGATGTGGAAAATGTACGATAGATGGTATCGTTCGATTTTGTTTTGCCGATAGGATCATCATTTGTATTTATTAAACTCTGTTGCGTCGTCGACGCAAACATCTACAGTAAAAAGTAAAGTTGATAATCAATTAATTATTCTAAGCTTATACATCGCCAATATTCGTATTAGATCTTTCCAAATGTTAGTAACAACTAATCTAGATACAAATTCTCTATATTTGAATTTTTTTCTCTATCTATTCATTTTTACTTCTTATTTTTGTGTTACTTGTCTGTGGTTATCATGCTTCGTTGCATTTTAATCGATAGGAGAGACAGGAAGAGAGAATGCGAGAAAAATTGTTAAGTTTTCTATCATGAACAATATAGAGCCGTGTTAAAAAAATGAATAAATCAGATTTTCGTCAATCAGAATGCAACAAACTCTTAATAGAATTTCAGTTTTCTGAAGATTTTTAAAATATAAAATAAGCGAATATTTGATAACTGGTGTCGTTTTAGAAATTTTTCAAGAATCAATAGAATAAAAATAATTGGAGCATCGAGAATTTCCTGTCACTTGAAAGAAGAAAACACAGAATTTATGTGAAGGAATCGATAGAGATAAGCTGTTATTAGGTATTTAGAATAAACTGTCCATGACAATTCTCGTACCATTGACTTTTTAAAATACTTTTAAAGCAACGAATTAGATCTCATAGATGTATAATTGGAACAACTTTGTCAATAATGGTACGTAATACAAGCAATCCTGCGAAACAGTCAAGTTCTCTAAATGAAATACACAGTTCAGTTCTTAAAATTTTCTCATTTTTTTTCTCCGTGGTTCAGAAGAAAAGTAGTAATATTCATGTTGTTTTATGTTTTAAAATCGTATATTCTCAAGATATAAATTTTTATTTTTCTTTCCTTTCTTATAACGTTCATCACTATGAAAAGCTCTTTGATACTCTTATTCGATTAAACAAAATAGCAATGTGTTTTATCGATAAGATCTCTAATTGTATGAACGAATGATGACAAACACTTGTTTTTCTAATTCGACATATAAGCTGATTGAATGTATCTGTAGAAAAAAGTAATCGCTTGAAAACATCTAATATCTCCTGAGTAACTATCTCAATTTTCAATGAATACAATAAAGAGGGGTTCCATCCTATCATCGAAAATCATGCCTGATACCGATGTACTGGTCAATTTCATCTAGTTTAAGATTTCGCTCTGTGCTGTAAAAAACTAGAATTGTCATGAATTTCACTGTGGTTAACAATCAATGTTTTCATCCATTTATGAAGATCTTTGACCGAAGACTAGAGACATCTTAGGACATTGAAAAAAAAATGTTCAAAACTCCTGAACAAAGCAAATCTGTACGTTTTTGGTTAGATCTTATGTTGCAGAGAACATACTTTCGGCTATACACCTATAAAAAAAGGAAGCATCCTTTGCTCAACTTTTTCAGAAATCCTCGGTAACAATTGGGGTCAGAGTATATTTTCAAAAATCAATTTTGCTTAGACAAGGCATGTCAATGTATCTGCCTTCGATTATTGAAAATCGCTAATCTCTATGTCTTATTGTTATTGAGTTATTTGAAAAAAAAGCTACATGACGTATATTTTGGTGTCTATAATAGGATATAAAAATAATAGAATCTTGCTTTCTTAGATTTTCAAATCATAATGATACTAGAATATCCATCGAATATGATTTTCGTATTGTTTGCCCTCTATTCAACTTCATGATTGATCATTTGTATACCAGTTGTAACTACACCGATGATCATCAAGGAAAGCATAAGACCGATACCACCATTAATAACAATAGCCAATATGCGAGCGAGCTTTCTTAATCGTTTCTCTCGATATGTTCTCATTCCTTCCGTATGTAGGCCAGTAACGCCTCCTTTTAAAAATTCCCAGACGGCTGTTCCGTAAGGTACAGGTTGTGAATTAAAATAATAAAGGATATTGTGTAGCGCCAACGGTTCTTCGCCATAATGATCGAAGACAAGTGCATCTGTCGGTTTAACATGACTTGTATTGTATGTCTTCCAATGTGTTTTATCAGAAGCCAAAGCAAAACTTTGAATAGCACAAAAATGTACTTCTTGATCAATATTTTGAATTTCTTGGTATGCACGTTTCAGTTTATGTTTCATCTCTAGATACAAATACGGCTTAGATACAGTATCATTGCTCAGCCACATCCTGGGATCCATCAGTCGAATACGAAGTAAATTTCGACGAACAATTAACCAATATGAATCTTTTTTCAGCGAACGAGCAGAAAATGGTGCTTGAAATTTGTAATCATTATGACATTCATGATTTGATGCTGTATGTGGTCTTGAACGACTAGAAGCATGTATTGATTGTACTTCTTCGCTTTGACGATCAGCAGCATCCCATGGACTGATGACCAGATGAATTTCATGGTCTTCTTTCGGGATATGTAAGATACGAGCGCGAGCCGACTGAGCCATCGATTTTTCGATGAATAACGCGTTCACCACCTACTAATGACAATAAATATCGACATAGAATATCAGTAATTTACATTATTCTTGTACCAACAAATCGAGTGAAGTTACATGCGTATATAAAACATGAAGCACGAGAATAATGCGATGTAAAGTAAAAAAAAAAGATCGAAAGAAAACGACAGAAATAAGTTCTACCCGCTTGCAAAATCGAACAGATGTTCCTATATTTGTGGTCGAGTTTCATAAATACATCATCGACAGTATTTCTGTTTGCTTTCTGAAGAAGTGAAATACATCACGATACTGAGTCAAAGGCAACCCTCGAAAAATGACGTCTTCAAGAAGAAAAAGATGCCACGCTTTTGTACCATGAAAACGATAAACGAGATAACATGGTATAAAGACGACGTTTTTATCATGTTCATGGTAAAAAAAACTTGATATTTTTTCTGGAAAACGTCGATTTTTTACCATGTAACTGAGCGAGATATGTAAGGAAAGACTCGTATGGGCTATTGAGATTTGTGAGATATTTATACAAGCAGGAAAAAAGGGCTTCTTCTCCAATATCTTTTATAGTTCCCTGTACTGAAACCATTATGAATTTGTTTGAGCCTCATCTGCGGTCATTCTTGCGCATTTCTCATTTGATTTTTTGACGTGAACCATCCTATTTCATCTCGGAAGCAATGCCATTTGATTTTGGTGAGAACAAAGCCACAAATTTAATGATATTCCTATTACTATTATTAACGATCGCAAGTTTTAGTCCGTTCATTAATCTGATGAATGGTATTGTAAGGTGCAGACAATTCAAACTTCCAGTAAACATTTTTTTTCGCGTTTTTTTACATCATTTGATAGAGCTTGAGCTGCTGATCACGAAAAACTACTTTTTAGCCTTAGCAAATACTTTCTTCCAGTCGAAAAATACGAGATGCTCGAAAGGTGTCTGTTAGCCTGTCTGTAAAGCTGAGAGAGAGAGAGAATTGAGAGTGAGTGTGTGTATCGTAGACTTAATTTTTTAAGACCAAAAAATCACGTTTGAACAATAAAAAATAATTCCAAAAAAAAACGATGAAGAAGAATAGTGTATATATAGGAGAAAAAAAAGAAGGAAAAAATGTGATCTATGATCACATTTTTTACACAACGCATCATGCATCATGAATCAAGAAGAAAAGGAAAACTGTGAGCGAGAATCACATTTTTAACAAAACGCGCACAAAGAAAGTGATGACTTGAGTCATCGCTAACAGTGTCCTTTCTCGAAATGCACCAAATCTTTTACTTCGCTCTTTTCTCCAGCTTCTGAAAATTTTTTTTTTCAGAAGCTGGAAAAAAGAGCGAAGCCGAAAATTTAGCACATTTTGAAAAAGATGTGTTTTTTCGAAAAAACGGCTTCTCCCGATTATTTCGAACTTTTCGACCGGAAAGAAGTACTTGTTGAGACTAAAAAGTAGTTTTTCGTGATCAGCAGCTCAAGCTCTATCAAATGATGTAAAAAAAGACAAAAAAAAGTTTTTACTGAAAATTTGCATTGTTGGCACCTTACATGTTACACAGATAGACGTTTTAGAGTAGTCTAGATAGAATATACATATATTTAGATTAGTGTAGTTTGTCATCGTTCATCGCATATTTGCTTTATAAAGCCAATGCCGAAAAGAAACTTAAATTTGTAAATTATCGTTTATAACTTATTCAAAAAATTTTAGAAACTTATAGTGTTCCAAAATCTATAGTAAGTCGTCCTGCATTAACTGATCAATCAACTAGATATACTGCTAGACACTTTCCATCTCTTGTACCTCACACAACAAATAGAAAAATTTCAAAAAACTTTTGTTGACTGATCTACGCTATGTAATTACGTAATTATTGCAATACAGGTTTTTATGTCGTTAATTCTTTTGAGAACTATTATACTTTATTACATTAACTTTACTTCTCGTATGTTATTGTATTGTTGCTTGTTATACTTCTTGGATGTATGGTTTGTTTCTGTTGTTTCAAAATAAACGTCGTGTATCTTTAGCATTAAGTGTGGATGACAAAATTATGAATGATAGTTTTCAACTATAATTGATTTTGTAAATAAAAATCTAACTTTTTTTTTAAAAAGAAGTCAGTCTTTAAAGAATTAAGGTGGAAACTAACCGTACTTACGTATTGAGTGATACTGGAATGTGCGAGTCTGTTTTGTATATAGGCAACCGATTTCGTTTCGTATTTATCGTTGGCAAAATTACTTGACTTTTTTTCACATAAATGTGTCTATGTGAATTAACGAAGCATGACGTTTGTATCAAGCAGGCAATTTTTTTTTCATCACTGTGCTCATCATCACATGTATTTCGTTGTCTACGATATTCTTTTTTTTCTTTTTTGCTGTTCTGCGCACTTCATATGGATACGATGAGAAAATAATAATTAATATTGGCATATGCGAGTGCATTGCAATAAAATGTCGAAGTTCATCTCGGATAAGTCAATGAAACAGTAATGTTTTTAGTTTCATATAAGATCATTGCGTTAAAAAAATGGAAAAAAGTGTACTGAAACAGTGGTTTTCAAATTATTCATTAAAAAAATTTATAAATTTTTTGTTTCGAAAAAATCGCAATTCTGCGTTTACTTTGATTAGTTTTGTATGATTTTCATTTCATATATCTGATTGTTTTGAAAAATCAAAATTAATATATTACTCTTAATATTTCTGAACCATCTTTATTCAAGAATTTGGTTATGACTAGAAAATCCGAATTCACCTCTTAGTTGCATAATTTTTTCACCATTTTCATCTTATAACCTTGATTATTTGTAAAACATCAAAATCATGACATTATTTTCACAACTTTTGGCTCTTTTCATTCAACTTTTTTATGTAAATCAAGAAAGTTTTGCAAGATTCTAGATCAGTGAATTTGCTATTTTGTGGTTGAATGACCACTAGTTTTTTTTTTCAAGACTTTTTTGTGAAATACATGACGAGAAACGATTAACTTAGGGTTTATGTATACATTAATCTTTACAAGTAGCGTATTTACGAAAATCAATATTGGCAAGGACAAGAAAGACGTTTTGCGCTGCTCTTTTGGCAACATAAATTATCATATTTAGTGTTTTGCATGTTCGTCACTTTGTAGTGGTTATGGAAAAAAATGAATCTTTCAAAAATACATTGCGAAGCCCTCGAAGAACAACTCATGTGAAGTTCGGAAAATACGAGGTAACATTATTTCACTTGAGTTTCCATGAGACACAGGTGAAAAAAAATGCATCCTGATCATTTCATGTTTTTCATGAGATAAATTTCGTGAACGTGTAGCTGTTTTTGATATTTTTCTAAAAGGTTTTCACGCCATGACTTTGGTGTAAAATTCACCAAAATCACAGCGGTCACGACAAATCTCAAATTGGTATCAATTTTCACTAAATGTTTGATCGCTGATATCT